TAAAAAAAAAAAAAAAAAAAAAAAAAGAATTGCCTGTGTGCAAGGATGGCACAAAAAATCAGGAAATGGTGAAAATTTAGAAAAAAGGACTGCGTCTAAAGGAGGTACTTGCATTCTGTGCAATTATCTTTGCTTGTCAGGTGTTTGTATAATACATCAGACTTTTGTTTTGTCAAACTAGTTTTCACACCACGTCGTGCAATCAGCAGCTATCCGACTATTTTGTTTGCTTACTTCGTGTGCGTTGAAGTCTGTTATTGACCTAATGGAGGTACTTCCACCGAAGATCCTTTCTCTTTCTGACTGTTCAGGCCTGATGTGAGGTGTCCACTCTCATCTCTTTTGATTGGCTTCGTCGTTCCTGTCGTTTGGGCCGGTGTGGCCATTGGTATGCATGCCAGGTTGACATCATTGATTTCAATGGGAGCTTCCTGGCGCGAGTGCGTGATCTGGTTGGTGCAAACCCCATCATTCTTGTTGTCACCAAGGTGAGTTCAAATCATCTCTCTCTCTCTCTCTCTCTCTCTCTCTCTCTCTCTCTCTCTCTCTCTCTCTCTCTCTCTCGTGCGTGTGCGCGCGAGCGCGTGCTCGCGCTCGCGCTCGGTTGTTTTCTTTCCCTCTCTCACTTACTCTCTCTCTGTGTTTCCACCTTTGCCCCCGCTTCCCTTTTCCCATGCCCCTCACAATTCATCCTTTCCTTCCTTGCATTGAAGTTGCGGCATGCAAAAAGATCAGAGTCCTGCAGTGCACACTGCAATGCACGATTGGGTATCGAGAAGAAGGATAGCATAAGCAACCAAGAAGGGTAAAACAACAATAACAAAAGAGGAAAGAAGCAGGTGAATCGAAAAGAAGCTTGAATGCTTTTGTGTGTTTTTGCATGCGCCTGTAGTGTGTGTAGCATGGTTGCCCCGGACACGCACACCGGGACAACTGGACACAGTCACTGGACCTTTGTCTGGATTCAACCGGACGTCCGGTTAACTGGACATCCGGACAACCTGACCCAGACAGTCCGGTTGGGTGTATCAGTGTCCGGTTGTCCGGTCATTAAAAAAAAAAAAAAAACACGGCACACACGACACGAACACAGACACACACAGGTTTGTTTGTGGAAGTGATCCAACATGCTGATAACAATTGGAAATATCGACGTACAAAGTTCTGAGTTCGGAACTGCGGAAGTTCTTCACAGGAGACTGCGGCTGTACTGCCCACCGAAGTTCTCCAACAGCGGGCCCTTCAGGGCCGGTCCGGTTGGGGCGGCTGTCTTCAAAAAACTACAGCTACAATTTTCCGGGGGTACCCGAGGCCCAGGAAAACGGCCTGGGGACCCCAATTTTTTTTTTCAAATTTCTTCACATCAGGGTCCAAGCGGACCCTCCAAACCGGACACCGGACCTGTACACCGGACACCGGACTGTCTAGATCAGGATCCGGACGTACGGTTGGCAACCATGGTGTGCAGGCGCATGCGTGCACATGCCGCTCCCACTACCACCCAAAAATGAAGATGGGGCTCAGCCAGGGAGCAGGAAGAGAAGGGACAAATTTGAAGGAAAACCAAAAGAAGAACAACAGTGTTAGCGCCAAGGGGCCCAGTTTGTACACCCATGAACTGTCAAGATACAGACCTGAGCTCGAATCCAGATCATGGAACTGGATTAATGAAATGAAATAATAATTCGTACAAAGAAGAAGAAACAAAAAAAGAAAAGAAACGAAATGAAACGAAATGAAACGAAACGAAACGAAACGAAGCGAAGCGAAACGAAACGAAGCAAAAAGGAAAGGAAAGGAAAGGAAACAAAACAAAGCGAAGCGAAACGAAACGAAACAATACGAAACGAAACGAAATGAGAGGAAAGGAAAGGAAACAAAATGAAACAAAACGAAACGAAACGAAACGAATGAAACGAAAGAAAACGCGAAAAGAAACGAAATGAAACAAAAGGAAAGGAAACAAAACGGAATGCAATGGAACGGAAGGAAGTTAGCCAGGAGGCGGGTGGTTCAGGGTGGCTCCCCTGGAGGGGGAGGGGAAATTGGGAGATAGGGATGTGGCACGTTCTGCGTACCTGCATGTCCTATATATGGCTTAACTGACAATAAGATTGCAGGCGCAGGAGCAGACCCGGAAGTGGGAGTTAAAGAAAAAATTACTGCAGTAGTATTTTACACAGTTTGTCTCTGACCCCCCTCTTTTTCTTTTGTGTGTCTCCGCTGCGTCCTGTGATTCTTTTTTTTTTCCCCCCGTAAAGGGCAATGGTGCTGAGATATCATCTTTGAAGTTTTAGCTGACCATCCCCAGGTGAAGTCAGGGTTATTTTCACTCATCTGGTTCCATCGGGATTCGAACTCAGGTCTGTTGGTGTCCTGTGATTCTAGGCCTGTTGTCGAAGTGTTAAATCCAGAGTTAAATTCAGTTCATGGGTGTACCAACTGAGCTGCTGGGGCTGTTGGTGTCCTGTGATGCTTCGGTTGACCCCGGGCATTTTACAGAGCTCGTCTTGTTGTCGAAGTGTGAGGGGAGGGTGCTGACTCCACTGTTTTTTGTCTTGACTGTGGCGTGTGATCCCAGGTCGACCTTCTGCCCGAGGGCACAGATTTTGCTGCTGTTGCAGACTGGTTGCTTGCAGCAACTATGAGGAAAAAGTTGAAGTAAGCAAAAAGCCCAGACGAAGCCATACACTTTGCCTGTTCTATCTGTAAGGATCACTTGTTTCAGAGAAGTATGAGATATCATCTTTGAAGAGAGGAAGTGGGGGGGAGGAGGAGGAGAAGGAAGAAGAGAGGACGGGCACACACTCACAGCTCTCACTGCATTGAGCACTGGTTTCAGTGGAGTAGGAGGAGGAGGCGGAGGAGGAGGAGGAGAAGGGGGAGGAAGAGGAGCAGGAAGAGGCAATGAGCAAACAAACAATACTCTCGACTGCATTAAGCACTGGCCTCACTGGACGAGGAGGAAAAGAGGAGAAGGGAGAGGAGGGGGAGGAGGGGGAGGAGGAATAGGAGGAGGAGGAGGGAGTGAGTACACAAAGACTACGACTGCATCAAAATGCCAGTACCCGTCCCCAGCCTTGCAGAAAATTGTGAGTCGCCAACTCCAAACTTTTCGGCGCTTGGGGCTACCCTACCACAATGGCTGGCGGCGCCAACCAAAAAAGTTAGAAAGTGCGCTGCTGGCGATTGGGAAAAGCTTGGCGCGCGCCGCGCAGTGCAGCGCCTCCAAACCCTGGTGCACTTTTCAGGGCCGGGGCCGTGTACTGGCGGTGTAAGCCTGGACTGTAATAATTTCTAAGCTCCGACTTCAAAAGAGAACAACGAAAAGAAAAACGAAGCTCTGATACCCAACCCCCCTTATTGCCCTAAAGGGGGCTACACCACCAGTAGATTAGGTAGGGCCTCCTTTTGTACGAGGCGCGGATTTCCACTGCTCGCCAAGCTTTGCTGAAACGCCAGCACGGCATCTTTGTTTTTGTTTTTGCTGGCGACGCCAGCCAGCAGCCTTTTTTTTTTTTTTTTTTCCCTTAATATCGTGTGGCCCGATGGACCACGGATCAGATATTAAACTGATCAGAACAGATACTACACTTGATCTATTTTTCGCCAAAAGGCCGAGAAAGGTATAGCAGCCATTTTGGTCCGGTTGGCCCGAGCCTCCGAGTTTTTTTTTGGAGAGGCTCAATAGTGATTCTCAGCTTGGCTGGGGCCATCATGGCCATGTGTACCGGTCATTTAAGTAATGGCACTTGGACAAAATCCTTCTCTTTTCTTCCTAAAAAAGCACAAAACCATAGCCGCCAGTGCCCGCCCGCCGGCTTTGAACCCCACCACCATTCAATGTAACCCCCAACCCCCTCTGTGTATAAATTGGGTGTGTTTGCAACTTTGCAATCCATGGAATATACATTTTTCGCATGTTGTCCTTTGGTGAGATATCCGTTAAAACTGGAACGATACAGAGAAGATAGATAGATTAGTGTGGCCCCTGCGAAACCATGACACACATAAAATTGTCGTAAAAAAATTAAAAATCGATTAACCGTCAATGTCAGCAGTTTAACGAGTTGCATGTTTCAATCTCTTTTTTTTTTTTTTTTTTTTTTCCTTCTTATGCATCTGGCAGTGTGCGGGACAGCCGTTTAAATTGGAACGATATAGAGAGAAGATAAGATAGATTAGCACACCACGCTGGGCCAGATTCCCAGCACGTGCTGCTCCCCATGAGTCGACTGGAGCATTTTGTCAAAAAAAAGAAAAAAAAAGAAAAGGAAAGAAGAGAAAGAAAGAAAGATAGATTAGCACACCCGCCGCAAAAGGACGACATGCAAAAATAAATCGAGTCGTCGTGTCATGTTGTCGTTGATGCCAGCAATTGGCTGAGTTGCCTGTTTCATTCGTTTTGCGGTGTTTTTTGACACAGTGTGGTAAGTATACACTTAACGAGCGCAAAGAGCGGAGCGGGCATACGAGGCGTTGCTGCGAACATCATGCGAGAGAGACTGGTAAGGCTTCATAGTAGTTCATACTCTCCAGAGACTTGCAGCAAGCACGTTGGTTGCATGATTTTTTTTTTAATGAATGTGCTCTTATGCTTTTGCTTCGAAAAGCGGCATATCGCTTAGTGGTTGCCTTTTTTTTTTGGGGGGGGGAATCTACTTTTATGCTTTTGCTTCGAAAAGAGGCGGTCTGTAGTAGTGTTGCTCAACCAGTATCTGAAGTTTTGACCTGTTTGGTATCATCTCAAGAATCAAGATGCATCTGGACTGAAATTTGCCCCAAATTCAGGTGCATCTGGACTGAAAGTTGCTCAACCAGGATCTGAAGTTATGACCTATTTGGTATCATCTCAAGATGCATCTGGACTGAAATTTGCCCCGAATTCAGATGCATCTGGACTGAAAGTTGCTCAACCAGGATCTGAAGTTATGACCTGTTTGGTATCATCTCAAGATGCATCTGGACAGAAATTTGGCCCAAATTCAGATGCATCTGGACTGAAAGTTGCTCAACCAGTATCTGCAGTTATGACCTGTTTGGTATCATTTCAAGATGCATCTGGACAGAAATTTGTCCCAAATTCAGATGCATCTGGACTGAAAGTTGCTCAACCAGTATCTGCAGTAATGGCCTGTTCGGGATCATTCCAAGATGCGTACCCTCTGCCTACGGTCCAGATATTTCAGAAAGTAATAGAAGGTGATGGATGTCCTCCATTTGTGTTCGATATTTAGAAATTTTTGAAACAGATGCTTGTTTTGTTTGAAATTTGTTTGAAATTTGTTTGAAATTTGAGAGAAACTTCCAAAAAAAGAAAAAAAGAAAAAAAGAAAAGGGCGGCATCCCTGAGAGATCATCTTTTTGATGACCGGCCTCAGGTGATTCAGAAATATTCTGTTTCTGTTCGTCTGATCGGATCTGGATTCGAACTTGGGTCTGTACTTCAGTAGTTCATGGGTGTACCAACTGAGCTAGGCTCATCAGTAGAGAAACTTTTTAAACAGAGGCTGCTTTTGTTTGAAAGGTGAGACAGATGCTCTTTTGTCGGCACAACTCCGTGAGATGTCCCGGGCGTGGGTTAAGGGTCTGTGACGATTGCGGCATCGGGCAAAGGCGGGAGGGAGGGAGAACAGTAGGTAGGGATTCTTGAGTCCGTTTGTTGCGGTCCTCTGGGTTCACGATGCTGCTTTCTCAATTAATGTCGATCTCGAACATTCTTGGACTTGATCGCGTGATCATTGTGTGTCTCTATTCCCACCTCTGTGCTATGCGTGTGTGACGTGCATGTGTGGTAATGTTTGCTGCGATTGAGTCAGAGTATAAGCAGTTGTGCAGGATGAGAGTGGAGTGTGCGACTACTGCCTGTGTGGCGGATGCCTTGTGTGGTGTTGTGTGTGTGTGTGTGTGTGTTTGTGAGTTGAAGGACACTACAGCCATGCAGGGGTGGGGTGAATATCACAACCGGCATGGATTCACTTTTGTACACCGTGTCATGGCTGTAGTGGTTAAGAGACTCGGCTCTTGAGGCTGAGGGCGCCGGTTCGAACCCGTGCGTGCACGGAGGAGGTCCTATGGCTGATAATGTACAGACTGTCCTACCTATTGCTGACTTTGCTGCTTCTTCTTCTTCTTCTTCTTCTTCTTCTTTTTTTTTTTTTTTTTTTTTTCGGGTGCTTCTACTATATTCCCACCTCTGGTGTACGAGTAACGGAGAAGATTATTACAGGGGAAATAACTCAAGAATGAATGATTAACAGATCGAACAGACGAAGAAATCGGCAAATACGCACTGTCCTGGGCTCCTAGCTAGCTCCCCCCATGTTGTCGTGATGTGTCACTTTGCATCACCTACGTCTGTATTTTTATTTTTTATTTTTTTATTTTTTTTAACCGGCGTCTATTTTTTTGTCTCGCTGGAGATTGGTTCATTGACATGGGGCCTCGCCACACCACTGTCGAAATGTGAAAAAGACAAAAATGTTGCGGGTGCATCTGGCCATGTTCAAGCGGGAGGTTCATTCTTATTTTGCACAACTTGAGAGTGGTGTGGCGAGGCCCATGGTCGCATGGATGTTTGGATTGGCAGCGGTGGTGCTGACGTACGTATTTATGCCTGCCACTTTGTTCTGTGTGTCTTGTGCTCCACTCTCGGTGCATCTTGCCTTTGCGTCTGCAGGGCCGCGACGTTTATGTATTGGTATGTGGTTCGTCTTTCCCGCCCTGTGCCACAATAGGCAAACTACTCCCTATCACTCCCCTTCCCCCCTTTCTTTGCTTCCTCCTGGCCCTTATGTGTGTACTGCTAAACGCGTACTAATGAGCATCATTTAGAGAACAGACAAAAAATAAGCTGAAGATATGCGCGGGCACGAGGCCTGCCTGGTAGAGAGAGAGATGTGGGGAATTATCGAGGGTGGAAGGCATTACAGTGGGGACATTTGCTGGCCGTCGACGCTGGTCGGAGCTGGGGTGGGTCGCTCCGCCCTGTAGCCTACCGTCTTGACCCAAATAGATCGCCCGATCATTTTAGCTGTATTGGGCAAAACTTTCGGTCCAGATGCTGCGATAATGACCGGGCATTCTATTCGGGTGAAGACGGTAGCAGGTGGGGGTGTATGCTGAGGCGAGTCGCGCTGCTTCAAAACCTGGCAGTTGGGGCCGTGAGGCCTGGTTGAGACCTGGTAACGAGATGGGAGGGCGAGGCAGGCTGAGGTTTGGGGCTGTTGAGTGGGACCAGACGGTTCGGTTCTGGGTTGGCGGGCTGTACATTGATCTCAAATACCTACTACGTGATTTGCTGATTTGTACGTAGCCATTCTTTTTTTTTTTTTTTTTTTTTTTTTTTTTTTTTTAAACAAAACAGGGCCTTATGGTCCTGGCTCCTTCTATTCTGGGGAGCGTCAGTCCGGTTCCTATTCCACCGGCAAGTCAAAATAAACATTACATCAAGAACACTCACACACGCTTCCTTCCGTCAGGCCGAAGGATCCCTGAACAGCATTGATTGTTCCACCGCGGTGGAGGATTGACTGTCAGCTTGCCCATCCTCTCTCTTTCCTCTCAGACCGGACAATTAGGTCTGCCAAATTCCATCACTGAATCCTAGAAAGAGTCCCTCTATTGTGATCATCAACCCGAGCCCTTTCCCTTCCACCTGCTTTTCCTTTTACCTGAGCAACCACTAAACCCTGAACCCTAAACCCTCGTCCTTCTTAACGGCTCCCCGATATACCATTCCCATTTAAGGATCGCCTTCCTCATTGCTCCGAGACTTTTTGCTTAGACCCTTTTACCTCCCTTGCTCGCCTTTATTACTAGTTTGCATCCTGGTCTCCACTGTTGTACATCAAAGGTAGTGACCCGAAAGCAGAGATGTCACGGTTAGATTCTGGCTCGAGGGTTCTATTCCCTGATTCCGTGCTTTGCTGTTCCAGATTCCTTCTTGAAGAGGAGTTGTGCCATTCCTTCCAACAAATGCGATCTTTCCTCAACTTAGCAACCTTCCCCCCTGCCATCCATGTCTTGATGAACTTGTTTCTAGCCTTCTTCCGTTGCTCTTTATCGTCTGTCTATGTACTCCTGATCCTCTTCCATCTGCATAGAATTTCTGCCTGTATCAGAACCTTTGTCCCCACCCAGACTCTCTCCCGTGCGATTGCAGCTCCCTCCATCGTTCTGCTGCATCTTTCCTTCCATATGACCCAAAGGGAGGTCTTCCTTTCGGCAAGTCAAAATGTTTTAATAGCCCCCTCCAGCATCAGTCCAGTTCCCTTTTTTTTCTTTCTTTATCTGTATCGAGGGTTCCGCTCCCTGATAGTTATGTTTTGTTGTACCCGCTTTCTTCTTGAAACCGAGTTGGGACACTTCTGCCTCCAGATGGACTCATTCCTCCTCTTGGCGGCCCTCCCCCCTACCATCCATGACTTGATGAACTTGTCTCCAGCCTTCTTCCGCTACTCATCGTTTCTGTCCCTCTGCATAGAATTTCTTCCTGTATCCAATCCTTAGTCTCTACTCAGACTCTCTCCCGTGCGGTTACAGCCTTTACAATCGTTCTGCCACATCTTACCTTCCATATGACTCAAGGGATGTCTTACTGGGGAACTCTAACCAGGTCTTTGTTTAATGCTTTCCGAGGCCCCTTAGGGATGACAAACAAAGGAAAAGTTAGTTTTCCTCTCTTTCTTTTAGCCCTCCTCCCTTTCTGTTTCCTGATATCCTCGTCCCTCCTCTCTCCATTTGAAGCAAAGCTGTATACCTCTGGGCTCTGCTACTTTCCCCTGACCCAAAATATTCTGTTTAAATTTTTTGATTATTTCCTCTCTTGCCCAGATTGCTGTCTAGCTTGCTGTCTCACCCTTTTCCACTGTGCGTTGAGATGTGATTCCACTGTATTGAGGAGCAGCTCCCTAGCTTCCTCCCTATGAGTTAGTGTTCCTTCCATAGTTGCTTGACATCTCCTTTTCAGGATGGACCACAGTCCATATTGTCTCAGCAGTTGAAAGATGTGCCTCTGGTAGGGTTGCCAACCTTTGGGAACCCCGACCCCCAAAAGGATGGTAGTCTTTGATTCTGGAAAAGCTATCGTCGCTACCTGCTTCCAGATCCCCCTAACTTGTTCCCACATTTTTTCTGCCTCCTTACATTCCAGTAGACAATGCACCAAAGTTTCCGGAAGCACTTCTTGGCACACCCTGCAAAGCTCCGCTTCCTCATTCCTCTGATTGTGACTTCTTCTTTCGTTGAGCCACACATTCACTGGTAATGCCACGTGCGCTATTAGCCATTGCATACTTCTAACCTGGCCCAGTCTGATAGATAGGATGCTAGACCACGGTATATCAGGTATTAGGCTCCTGGGGATCCCTGCTTTCTTCTCCCAGCGTTTGGTCAGAGTGTGTCCCATGGACCTGGGTCTGTTCCTCAGTCTATACCCCATTTTTGTGGTATATTGAAGAATGTTGATTCTTCTTGCTACTCTTGACTGTCCATCTCTAATGTTCCAGGCCCATTCTCCAGGATCGACCTCAAGATCATTGATTGGTACTGTTGAACTGTATATTGTATACTCGTCCATCTCTATCACTCTTACCTTCTGTAACCCTTGTTTGAGAATGTGCAATGGTGCTTTAGAGGACTTATCCAGTTGGGAAGTGGTACTGTTCGGCTGTATTATGTCGTATTTATCAGCTACTCCCATGTGGCCCAATCCCCCTCTCGCCATTGTTTTCCCTCTCTCAGCAATCGTACCCAGGTTGGGTGTATGGAGTCAGTGACTATTCTCAGATTGTCCTGAAGATTGTGGCACCCCTTCAGAGCTCTCCTCAATTCACCTGCTGTTTTCCACCGCTTGTTCTCATCATCCCAGATGTGTTTGATTTGCCATATCCATGCTCCACCCATCTGCCCCATCTCGAATCCTTGCATGTAAGTGTTAGGGGCTTTCCGCAGCCGTCCCTTATGCAATTATTGCAGAAAATCGGTTGTCTTAATACCTCCTCCCTAGTAGTAGGTTCCCTGACCCTTGCTGGGAAGACCTCCTTCCACAGTTGTATTAGCTGCAGCCAATAGGAGGGGTTTCTAGCCCTCCCACCTTGTGCCTCCCTGTTCTCCTTCCTATAGCCCACTTTAGCCCAGCTGCTACACATGATCCAGAACAGTCCCGTCATGTTGCCAGGTGTTTTATACATAGCTATCTGCCTGATCCTTTCCAATACTAAGGAAGTCCATGATAATCTGGGCTGTGAGATTAGCTTGACCAACCATTTTGTTTGCAAAGCCTTCAGCTGTAGGGTCGGGTCTAGGATGCCTAGGCCACCTTGACCCTTGGCTCTGGTTACCGTTTTCCATGCCACCTTGGTTATGAAATGTTCCATGTTGTGCTTCGCTGTCCACAAAAAGGCTGCTGCCTTTCTCCTAAGCTGGGTCGATGTGGCCTTGGATGGAGTCCAAAAATGGACCCCACGTACCAAATCATGGAATGGATCGGTGCGTTCAAGATCAGTGCTCTTCCGTATATAGAGGTGTACACTGTCGACCAAGCCCCGAATTTTGATAACATCTTGGCCATTATGTCCGCCGCCATCGACTGGTGAGGCCCCTCCTCTGTTATTTTGATCCCCAGATTTCGGAGCGGTTGTTGAGGTGGCAACCATTGAAGCCCCTCGGGGCTAGTGAGAGGAATCTGGTAGTCTTGGTCTAGCTCTGCCATCCACCAGCCCACTGTTTTGTGCCAGTTGATTTTCGTTTCTGAAGCCAGTTGGAAGGCTTCCATAGCTCTTGTTAGCACTTGGAAGGAGTCTGTTGCCCTGATTAAGACTGTCAGATCATCCGCGAACAGTATCGTCGTGGGGATTAGCACCTTGTGTCCTTGCTGGTCTGGTGGAACTGTTAGTCTTTCTATTGACGGATCCTTTCTTAGAAAGGAGGCTATTGCCTCCATTATGAAGAGAAAGATGGGAGCAGCTCAGGGATCTCCTTGCCTAACCGACCTTGACATCGGGTAGGTCGAGGATAAGTGACCATTTATCTGTACTTGTCCTTGTGCATTATTGTATAAGATCCTGATCCACTTCCTAAAGTTCGGCCCTACCCCCATCTTTTCCATGCAGAACTGCAAGAAAGGCCAACTGACCTGATCGTAAGCCTTTTCAAAGTCGAAAAAAAGAATGGCGGCGTTGATTCTCTTGTCCCTTATGTACCGGACCGATTCTGTTAGGCACATGACATTGTCCAGGATAAGCCTACCCGGTATGAATCCAGTTCGATCCAGATGGAAGCAACCCGCCGTGATTTTGGATAATCGATTAGCTAGCGCCTTGGCTACTATTTTGTGAGTGAAAGTCAACAATGTTATTGGTCTATAATTTCATATGTCCGTTGGACTCCCTTTTTTGTAGAGCAGCGTGACTATCCCCGTTGCGGGCTCGCTCCCAATACCCTCATCCTGCCATGCGTGTTCGAGAAAGGAAACATATTCCTCACCCAAAATTGGCCAAAATTCAAGCCAGAATTCTCTTGTCAGGCCATCTTTCCCGGGGGTTTTATTTGGGCTCATCGTTTTGAGTGCCTCCCATAACTCGTCCTGTGTAAGGGTTCGTCCAGCATGGCGGCATGCTTTCGTGAAATTGTGTTCTCAAGATAATTCAGAAACTTTGATCTCGCCTCCTCAACCTTAGGCTTAGGGAACTGGTCTTCCACTGATGTATATAGCTTACTATAGAAGTCAAAAGCCACCCTTAACAACCCCTCCTTGTCGGAAGTCGGCCCCCCTTCCCCTTCTAAGCTCTCTATGAGATTGTTCCTGCCCCTAGTCTTGATTTTTTGGAAGAAGAATTTGGTCATTCTCTCCCCTTCCTCCCATTCTTTGATTCTTGCTCTCATTCTTAAAACCTTTGTACGTAGCCATTCTTAGTCTTAGGGGAAAAAAAAAAAAAAAAAAACGTCTTCCCCCGAACACAACGCACCCTCATCTTGGCTGTACCGGACCGGAATTATAGCTTGCATACGCTCAATTTCAGGGGGCGTTATGTTCGGGGGAAGACGGTAGTCACACATACGAAGTGCAATGGTTCTTCCGATTTGCCCCCTAGAGGTCTTTTCATGAGTAGTTGGCTTAAAAGTTAAAAGCGTGACTGTCTACTCGTGTCTTCTGAAATACCTCTCAGTTTTTCTTAGCTTTGGCCCCGGTATCTAAATGGTTGTAAATTTAAATGGGGCGCTGGGCCCGGTTCCCAGCACATGCTGCTGATCCCCACGAATAGATCGGAGGTTTTTTTGTCCCAAAAAAAAAAAAAAAAAAAAAAAAAAAGAAAGAAAGAAAGATGAAGATCTGCTGAGAAATGAGAAGTGTACCTCCCTCTTTACTCAGCCTCCTTTCATAGTGTGCAAGTGGGCTGTTATGCCACATGGTATGCGGGCAGCTTGCGCTCAACCGCCATCAACATGGCAAGCCTTGTACCTTAGAGGCACAGTTAAAGGGGAGCTGCAAGAACACATTAAAAAGGGGTACACCAAAGAAAGCCAGAGTAAAGATAGCAAAGAAAGGACTGTGCAAGGAAAAGGCAATGCAACTGTTGTTCTACTGCGCTTCATGTTGTTTGCTTTGCTATGCAGGTAAACCTGTTTCAATTTTGGATCAGCCCATCTGGGTGGCAAAAGGCTGTTGCAGTGACAGACAGTTTACAGCACGCAATGTCATGACGATGCATGCAGGCGCATGCCTGAATCGGCGTGCACGCATGTGCACAAGAGGATGACACGAGAGGGCAGGATTACACATTAGGACAGAATAAGCTACTAGTGACCCTGCTGCTTTGCCTTAAGAAAAAAAAAAAAAAAAAAAAAAAAAAAAAAAAAAAAAAAGAAGCAAACAAAAAAAAACAAAAAAAAACAGATTGCCTCACGCCTGACGTTATGTGGTTGACGATGGTGGGTATTGCGGTGGCGGATGAATGGCAGGGTGCAGCAAATGTTGGGAAGTCGGCTTTCATCAGCGCTCTCCTGGGTAAGTGGTAAAAGGGTAATCAGTCAGAATTCACATAACAGGGAGTGGGGTGCTATGCGCCCAGGGAAAACGATCGGGGAGTATTGTCATCCCAGGTCGGGCTGTACCTGAGGCGGTTTTCCCTGGGCACTACCGGCCTACCGGCCCAACATGGGATGAAAATACCCCTGGATCGTTTTCCCCGGGCGCATAGTACTGGCCCGGGTTTTTTCGGGCGCCCGAGACCGAAATGGTTTCTGCGTGGGCGCTTTTTCCGTCAATTATCCCTTTTGAAATTTAGTCTCTATTTCAACAGTTCATGGGTGTACTGACTGAGCCGCCAGGCCTGTTGATTATGTAGTTTACAGGAAACTGCCTTTTTGGGCAAGTTATGTTCGTATTATTTCGTTCTTTTTCAAAATCTGATGCAATAATCATAATGTGCAATATGTAATGACCTGCCAAACACGGACTGAGACACACAGCTGATTTCTGAGTTTTGCTCATGGAATGTATGTGTGGGTGCGTGCTTGTTGGTCTGCATGCCTGTCTGAGTGCTTGTCGGCTTGTTGCTGAGTTTTCTAAGTCTGTGTGGGTGCGTGCTTGCTGGTCTGCATGCCTGTCTGAGTGCTTGTCGGCTTTTTTTGTGGGAAATTATTATTCAAATTAATACCAAAAGTCAAGCAAAGTCAAACAAACTCCCTCCCTCCGTCTCTCTGTGTGTATGTTTGCGGTTTTGCGCAGATGAGATGGCACAACACGATATCATGGCCGCGAATGCCCGGCGGTTCCGACCTGTACAGTCAGCAATGCCAGGAACGACATTGGGGCCGATTGCGATCAAGGCATTCTCGAGCGGAGGGGTGAGTTTGCAACTAAGAGGAAATCGGATTTTTTTTCAGCTTCGTTTTACGTTTTTCAATCCCTTTTTTTTTTCCCGCTTAACCACCAATATATATTATATACCCTTGGTTGCCGTGTGCAATCAGTCTTCTTCCTTACTCAGCATGCATGAAAACAGATGGCAATCACACTGGCGCCAGGCGCCCACCCAAAGCTCAGAGATATCGAGGCCAAGAACACAGTTCAGATTTAAACTTGCTTCAGATGGCTATGGCGCCTGTGCGCCTACACACTTCTCAGCCGATACTGTATCCCCAGCAGCTGTTCACACGCGCGCTACTCTGGATCTCCCTGGATGTCCCGTACACAATCACACACTTCACGCAACACGCTCACTCATACACGCTACAGCCTATCTCAAACCTGCGGCAGCTATGGCCACCTTCGATCTTCCTAGCTTCTAGCGGCTATGGCCGCGTTGTCTCCCTCACAGCCCACTTCTCCTTCGGGCACCTGCAGACCTCCTTGCACAAGACGCTCAGGCAGCGCTTCCGCACGGCTCACAGGCAGAATGAATGAATAACTGGACACTGCCCCTTGATTTATACTTCGGTTGGTCGCTGGTCTGCTCCTTCCCACCGGGCCCAGGGTGCACACAGTCCCACATGGTACTTACTGACTGGACAAAGTGCGACTGGGACTGGGTACCGCTGACTAGGCGGGGTTGGCTGTGACCACTTGCCCACTTGCCTCTAGCCTAACCTTAGCAATTCTCGAAAGGTCACTTCCGGACCTTCCGGAAGTCTGTAGACTTGGCCTTTCGGGACTGTAGCAGCTACGGCCTTGACCTTTCTGGACTGTAGCAGCTACGACTTCTACATGGCTAAGACTTCCAACCTACAGGCCTACGGTTCGAGACCCAACGACCAGGCTACCTACAACAAGCAAACAGGCGACTCTCAAGACACAGGTCGCGGGCTCAAACACACACAGGGGTCCACCGACACTGTACACAAGCGAGGGGGAGGTCTAAGCATCGAGCCCTGGGATCTGCATCTGGGACTGCAAAGGTGAAAACCGTTTCACATGCAGCCACGGTGCGCTTCGGTCAACCTCCCCAATGTTTTTAGGAGGCTTGGGATAAAAACCAGCCGTTTCGGATCGCAAAGCGTAAACGAAAAGAAAAGAACTGAAAAGAACTAATAAAAGAATAAAACCCAATTCGGAGAAGCTTTCGGAGTTGGCCAAAATTTTCTCCGAATTCGGTGTTTTTGCCAACTTTTTCGTTACTACTGGTCCAAATATGTCGAAAGACTCGAAACTGAATACATACAGATATGCCCTAAAGCACATACATATCACACACACACACACACACACA